ACTCGTTATTCAGCACTACAATGCCCTCTAATCGGTACCCCCCCCCCCCCCCTCCCCCCCGATATATCGAAGGTCGTTTACCCAACGTAAGAGCTTTGAACTCATGATACTGAAAAAAGTGCTTAAGTACTTTCTTATGACCACAGGGTACAGTGGACGAAATGCGGGAAGATGTGCCTCGGATATTTGATGGGCAAGTTCTATGCCGCCCGCCACCTCAATGAAAAACGCAAAGCGCCGCTGCTGGCAGTTATGGCGTACATTTACGGCTAGCAATAACGGACTACCGAAGAAGCCCATGATTGGTCCCGAAGTCTTCCCCGCTGCATGGCCATCACGTGGGGAAAAGCTACCGTTTACGGAATATGATCGGCGAGGAAGATGGGCGCTTTTGCAAACTGTTTGGGAACCAAATTGTGAAAAGGAAAAAATACAGTACAACATCCCAATTAGACCAAACTCAAAGCTTAGTATTGGTCCGCACTAGCCAACGCTTGCAGCACGAACTTGTGTAGAGCACATCTCGAAACATTAAGTTTCGCTGCATGATCGAGTTGAGGCAAAAATGCTTCCAAGCATAGCAGCTTCAACCAGAATAATTTCAGCAGGTGATCTCTTCACATACCAAACAGCATGATGTTCAAAATAAACAGGCTTATACTAATAGTCGGAATCGTGGCTGTCTCCAGCATCTTGCGACGGACGTGACCATTCTGCTACGAGGCCATTTAAAGCGCCGTGCCACCTGAGGCGGGTGGCTTCGAACGCTCGCCACGCGCTTATTAATTGGATTCAGCGCAAGGCTGTGGATTGTAGTTGCCTGTATTCGTGTCGTGAGAAGCTCACTGGCTTGAGGACGTAGTTTATCGTCAGTTTCTTTAAGGCGCTGTGCGGCTTTTCCAGGGATCTTCCACGGATGGCGTCCACTGAAGTACCGTTAAAAAGCCTGCCGAGACACGATCTAGAATACCGACCTAGCAGGCACGATCTGGATAACCGGACTGCAGCTTCAGAGTTTAACGGAGAAAGTTTAAGCGACATATGTAAGGGATTCATCCGGAGCTTCCTGTTGCTCGGATGAAGAGCGGCTTCGGGGTCAGTGGCTGAGTATGGCCGGCGCAGGCCTCGCACGCTGCCCACCTTACCGCAGATTGAATGAACTGATCTGTTAACAGGCGTGATATAACACGCTTTCCATTGTCAGTATGCTCGTGTTCCTAGATCATGAGAAGAGTGTTGTGTGTCTGTGTAAATGTGTGTGTTGTGTGTGTGTGCGCTAAATTATTTGACCACAGGTTTTCAAAAATATCGTGTGCATCTGCTGATATCAAGATGTTATGGATTCGTACCAGACTCCTTTAACTGATGTCGCGTTAAGGCGATATCATCGCGCAGTCAAAGCGTCCCCCCCCCCCCTCCTCTCGAAGAGCAAGGCCTACGCGGCTCCGCTGATACCAGAGGCCGCCTGTCTACCTGGAGCAGGATTTCCAATTTACAGCCGTAAATTGGCTTTCAATAAATGTTGGACGGGGCACGATGACACAATCAAACAATGACATATTGAGGACCATGTTTATGAGCAGTAAAACCATGTTGTCTTGAGCACGCTTTCCACTTAAAGATATACCAGTAGTTGTAAGTCAGCCTATTGCATCCTGTCTGATGCCTGTTTCAATACTTTCAAATGTGGAGCATTCTCTATACGAATCCCTGCATCATGAATATGCGCAGAAACACGCCCGTTTCAACTCCGCGTCGCTACAGAGCACTATCTGGTACCTGAAGGCAGCTTAAGTTAAAATTTAGACTGTCAGGAAAGTTTGGCCTTTGGCGTGACCTAAAAAAGTATGAGATACTGGTGAAGCCAACCCACTTTTTATGTGAGGCCCTTTCTTAGCTTGGGAATTCCAGGGGGTGTATGGACCCTGCCCTAATCAGTAGCGCTTTTTGAATTTTGAACGCTATAAAAAACGGAGAATCAGGACGTTGGTTAACAGCTCCGCATCTCGGCGCCATCGCTTCCCAGTCCTGTGTTGGCCTTACAGCCTCTGCCGTGCCGGGCGCGCGGCAGCTCTAGTGCCGGATGTGCGCCCACTCTATTGCCGGACGCGCACCGACTCCAGCGCTTGGCACGCGGACTCTGCTGTGCCAGACACGCTGCCTCTCCTGTGCCGGACGCGCGGCCGCTCCAGCGCCGGATGTGCGCCCACTCTATTGCCGGACGCGCACCGACTCCAGCGCTTGGCACGCGGACTCTGCTGTGCCAGACACGCTGCCTCTACCGTGCCGGACGCGCGGCCGCTCCAGCGCCGGATGTGCGCCCACTCTATTGCCGGACGCGCACCGACTCCAGCGCTTGGCACGCGGCCTCTGCTGTGCGAGACACGCTGCTTCTCAAGTGCCGGATACGCGGCAGCTCTAGTGCCGGATGTGCGCCCACTCTATTGCCGGACGCGCACCGACTCCAGTGCTTGGCACGCGGCCTCTGCTGTGCCAGACACGCTGCCTCTACCGTGCCGGATACGCGGCAGCTCTAGTGCCGGATGTACGCCCACTCTATTGCCGGACGCGCACCGACTCCAGTGCTTGGCACGCGGCCTCTGCTGTGCCAGACACGCTGCCTCTCCAGTGCCGGATACGCGGCAGCTCTAGTGCCGAAGGTGCGCCACTCCAGTGCTGGACGGCTCTGCTGTGTCAGACACGCGGCCTGTCCCGTGTCGGAAATACAGCCGCCCTTGCACTGGACAGCTGCTCCTGTATCGGACATGCGGCCTTTCATGTGCTGGCACGCGGCCGATCCAGCGCCGGACATGCTGCCTTTCCTGTGCCCTCCGGCCGCTCCTGTCTCGGAGATGTGGCACCTGTGCCGGACAACCGGCCGCTCCTGGCGGGACATTCGACAGTCTTAGTGATCAATACAGCGACGCTCCAGTGATCGGCTCATCGTCGCTGCAATAAGGTCTTGGCACCGCACTGTTAAAGGGAGTTAGAGTGTTCCACATTTATATTGTGATTTGAACTGAAATAGACATGTTGAAGACCTTTCGGTGTTGTTCGCAGTCCTCCCTCCCTTCTCCAGGGCCAAGCCTCGCTAGTTTCTGAGATCCACGCCCGCGAAAATGGGTGGAGGTATATCGAGGAGGGTATTTCAATGTCACCATAGCATTCATGACGTCGCGAAAACGTCAGTCAAATTCTGTCATTCCAACGGCCATGCGGAGATCAAGGCCAACATATATATAATTCTCGAGGCGTTCACATATGACGTTCGTGAGCGCGATATCCAGACACAACGGCCGCCAACTGGCTCCCAGTCCATGTTGTGCAAGGTACGATGACGTAATCAAACCATCACGAAGTGAGAAACATATGTAATTAACAGAGAACTGTGCTGTCTAGAGCAGTCTTCTCCACTTAATAAGTACGCCAATAGTTATAAGTGAGCTTGTTCCATCACGTCTGATGCTTGCTTTAATCTCTTGAAATGTGATATATTCCCTTCAAGATGCAGATCATTATAATGACACGGCGCGAGTAAATGCAGCTAGTATTTCACGCGTCGCTTTATTGTTTACCAGTTTGTGGCACGTAGCCTTTAAGTGCTAGGTCCACAGCCAGAGCGTATGATGTGCTGTGCGTGAGTATGTCCATAGCAGGCTGGCGGGCATGTGCTATGGACGGTTATGACATGTACGCTGACCAAATGTTATTTTCAAAATTCACAATTTGCCCCATGGGCAGCACCAAGATAAAAATTGTTGCTGAACACTAAGCGAGGCCGTCATATAACGACATAGTGGCAGCGCCTGAAATCCGAAATAATCAACCAATCTCTCTGAGCACGGCTCGTTATACTAACACTGACTCACCAACCACGTAACCCAGGCCATGAAATAGGTTATCCAGTGTGGGATTTCTGGTTGGTGGTCTTGGATTGAGGGTAAATCTTACCCGTGTGCGGATTGTAGATGCTGGACATCAAAAGTTTAGGCATGATGGAAAACTATAACATTTTACTTCAGACGCTGTAGTTAGAGACTAGTGCGGCGCAGCTATGGTTTTGATACGGTCGCAGGCCAAACATGTGCTCGCCTTTCTCCGTACATGCGACGTCTTAGGTCTGATTCGAACCGACGTGCTCGCCGGCCTTAAGCCCGCTGCGCTGGCTACTCATACACTAAACGCACGCCCTTACCGCCGGCACGTTAAGCATTGCAAGCAAATGATACTTTAGTGCAAATGAATATTCCGAAACGGAAATATCGATGACTATATCGCAACGGATTCTGATAGATTTCGCGTCAGGTGACTATTTAGGCAGTATCAAATTACGTCGGTGGCAGAAAAGGCATTTTTCATCCCTGATTTCCATCATAGGACACACGAACTGGACACGAGTGCTCTTACTACACATTATGACGCCCAACACTACTTATTCTTTTCCGCCAGCCGGTACCTATGCCTATGAGTTTACCAGCGGCTCATGTTCACTATCACATTACTGTTGAAGACGTCTGCTGAGAAAATAGGCACCACAAGTGTGTCGTGAGTGTTGCTGTTTAATTAGTTCTAGTGTTCAAGGTAAACATGTTTAATGTTGACCATATGATATCTCAGAACCCAATTTATTGAATTGTGGTGCAAAGCATGAAAGAAACGTCGTTCGTATTTGCGCAGAAGGCTTTTCTTTTCACCAGCCCCCTGCCATTGCTTTGCAGGAACGCATCTGATAAGCAATTTGCTTGGTGTTTAAAACTTTTTAGGTAACACAGTGACGTCTTAAAGTAATTTTCGTTGCGTTTTCAATACAGTGACATAGTTATGAAAGCAATGGATACCTTTTCAGCATAATAGTGTGGCGATTAAGGAAGTTGTTTTATTAAAAGAAATAATGAGCTTTGCTTGTTCGATACGTCAAATCAAATGCACAAATAACAAAGCCTGCACACAACACCACCAACAAAATAATGTTTGCTACATAGCTTGCAACACGCGCTACATGAAACTTTTGCACTGCCTTACATCAGCGGACGCGCATTCCGTAGACTTGCGCTAACGAATGACTCCAGTCGTGTTTGTCTGCCATATGTCTCCCACTACGACATGCGTTCAGGTGGGCCAGTGGCAGAAAAATCCTGAGTCAGGCGCACTTCGACAGCAACCGCATCACTCCATCGTGGGTCGTTGTATTTAGAGGACACCGCTGGTCTTACGCACAATATATTTGCATTGCACGCTGAAAAGGCTCAAGTGAAAGTGACAGCTAACGAGTACCTAGTGTCATGAAGCGGAACTACAAAACTGTGTTTTATAACTTTCGCCGTATATGCCTCGAAGTGTGCGGGCCGATTTCACTTGATCTTAAGATTTGTAAGTAAGTATCTGTAATTGAAAAATAAAATGAGTTCGCACGACGGAGATCGAGAGTATAGGCTCGTACGTTAGGTTCATGAAACCGGGCCCAGCATGGCGCTTCGCACAACGTGTCGCTTATACTTGTGAAGCTCGGAATCAAAGTTGCAAAGTTCAGTTGTAATTGTGCCGCGGTTACATATATCGAGGGTAGGGATATATTCAATTGCTGCTTGTTCCGTTGACGTCGTACGCTTTATTAACAAAATAAGCATTCCATTTTGATAGACGTACACCGAGCTCTTTCAGCCAGCTGAATTCGTTGACAAGTACTAAGATGAAAGGCAAATATTTCACAGAATACTTACCGTGGCTAGGTCTCTTTACCATAAACTTCTTAGCATGAGCTTCGTTTTTTAAATGTCGGATTGGTACTTATGGGGAGTCAGAAAAACACCATAGGTGTTGACTTCTCTTTCCACACACAAAGTAGTCGATTGTGGAATTTTCAGAAAAAAACACGAGCACTGGGGGAAGCGCATCTAAGCGTTTTGATTAAGCTTACACCATAATGAAGTAAAACGAGCTATAATCGAAACATGGAATAGCAAGTACGATGCTGGTAGATCACTTGCTCAATGTATCTGGTCACTGATGCCAGTATATCATAATTTGGTCGACTGACTGACCCCCTTGACTAGCTTATGTATGTGGACGGAATCTCGAGTGTCCATTAGTTGAACAGCATCCGTCGCCATGAGTGAAGCCCTTACATCTCATCATCTTGTGCAGCATTTCATAGACAGCGCACATGAGTGGAATCTGAACCACGGACAACAGATATTCAAGAGACACTTGCCCCACATTTACCAGCAGCCAGAGGCGTTCCACGCGTCGCAATCCCCAGCAAATACGGACCGCAGCTACATCCAACAAAGCCGCACTCGTCCTTAAGCTCATTCAGACGGTGAGCAACAAGTATCTGGAAAAGCGTTGAGATGGTGGCGGCGGCGGACCGCGGTCGCACGCCGCCGGCAGGCCCCGGCTCATTGCAGGAACAGCACGAGCGTATACGTCAGCACGGCGGCCACCACCATCACGATGGTGGCGATCAGCATGACGAGGAACCAAGGCGAAGTGAAGGCGCCGGGGAGCAGCAGCGCCTGGTCCTGCAACAGGTCACCAGTCTCAGCGTGGGGCTGACGGCTACTGCGCCCGGCCTGCCGACCGGCCGGCGCGGCCGGCCGGTCGGTTCGAGCGGGGATGTCGCGCTTGGGAACCACGCAGGCTTAGGTCAAGCTGCAGGTGAAATGGGACAGATGTCACTCTACTTAACACCGGCGCAGGTGTCAGTTGATAGGTGGATTCGGGTTATCGAGGCTAGATTAGCGAGTTTATGCCTAAGCGCCGGTCGGGCATGGGACTGATCCCAAGTGAACTATGCGTGCCACCAAGTTATGTCGATAGCTGTGGCCTAAGACATGTCAAACGAGCCTTTAGGGTGTCAGGCTATGTGGGTGGTCTGTGTAAAGCCTTGCTGCGACGTTTCAGCTAAGATAATAATGCAAGTGCGGAACGCAGACTAATCAGCATTGTGCTAAGAGCAAAAAGAGATATACGCAAGATCATTCATCATGAAGGAAATCGCACAACAATTATTACTGAAAGCGCTTCGATTGGCCAACGTCATTGCTTCATTCATACTCTTCTATCTTTCTTTATTTTTATACTTCCCGGAAGTCCACAGTGCATGCCTATGCCTTATTGTATTGTTGCTGCATCCCAGGGAGCACCGCCATCTTCGGGGCAAGCGCGTGCGCGTGCTGGTGCAACGCCATCTAACGAGAGACGGTGGGCTTGAAAGCAAAATAACTATTACGTTGCCACTTCGGCTATAACCTGCGTGTGTCACCGCTGAAGGATGGCTTGCGGCTGCCCGCCTATCGCGCACAAGCCCGCAGGGCCCGGTGACCTGCAATCTACACCGCTTGACCACCCGCTGCCGCTGAGCCAGAGGCGGGGGTGCTGCCGGCGGCCGGCGGCCGGTACCTCCTCAATGGAGACGGTTTCGTGTCGACTGTCGCTGTTGGCCGGAGCTGGCGCCCAAGTCAGCGTGTACCACGGCAGGTTCTTGATCTCATCGGCGATGGCGTCCATGTCCTTCACCATCCTGCCAGGGCAGAGGCACACACTTACACAGCCGCCAACGATAAAATACTGGACCAGATGGGTAGACGACAGGCGCAGATCACTACTCAAGTGGCGTTGGAACTTACAAAATGTCGGAGGACACAAATGTTCTCCTGATACCCCTGAAATAAGCCTTTTCTTCCAGGCAGTGACGTAAGGGTACTGCAAAATATTTCCGAAGTTAGGAGAGGACAGCAAATCTCTGTGTGCTGCCCTAGCTGCAACGTTCCCGGTTGCCGTGCCATCAACGCAGCGGCGCGATATTCCCCCTGCCCCCTCCCAGTCCATACCAGGCGCCACCCCGCCGACGTTCCTGCCATCACGGCCCGCCAGGCCACAGCGGAATGTCCCCCCGCCCTCTGCGACCCCGAGGCCAGGACCATCGTGGCACGCGCCGCGGGTGGCCGGCAGGTCTACGTTGTGGTCGATTGGCTCACGGCTACTCAGAGGCCGCCGTGCTCCCTTGTGTGCCGCATTGCATCGAAGGTGCTCTGAGTGCAGCCCAGAGCAGGTAACTCTGAGCTAGCCTCCATGGCCTGGTTCTTCGATTTGTTATATGTTAAGTAAGTCATTGTCAGACGTAAATGTTGATTGCATTTTCTAGCCTGAAAGTACGCGATGATGACAAAGTGAGTGCTCGTGCTATGGGAGTGCTTCCGAGTAAGAAGAACGCTTGCTTCCCCGAGGATCCCGGTTTGCAATCACGCCTGGCATCGGAGTCACCTCATCATTTTAATAATAGTGGAGATGACATCACTAGTGCGTGTGATGCTCCTAATACGCCACCCACGACTGCATATGATGAGTGCACTGCGCCGATCACTGTTCTACTTTGGCGGCGGCGTGTGCGTGACTGCCGTCCTGCATGCCATATTGGTAAATATCGGCGGTGACGAGAGCGTGGCTGCCGTCCTGTCCCACTCTCCGCTGGCCGTTCTACTTGGGCAGTGACGGACGCCAAGCTGCCATCCTGCTCCACTCACCGCTCTACCTGAGTGGTGACGCACGTGCGACTGTCGTCCTGCTCTACCCACGGCCCTACCAGGGCAGTGACCGACACCGGCTGCCGACCCGCTCCACCCACCGCTCTACCTGGGTGGTGAGGCACGTCTGACTGTCGTCCTGCTCCACCCACGGCCCTACCAGGGCAGCGACCGATACTGGCTGCCATCCTGCTCCACTCACCGCTCTACCTGAGTGGTGAGGCACGTCTGGCTGTTGTCCCGCTCCACCAATGACTCTATATGGGCAGTGACCGACACCGGCTACCGTCCTGCCCCACTCACCGCTCTATTTGGGCAGTGACGGAGGTATGGCTGCCGTCCTGCTCTCCGAACTCTCGTTCGGACAGCATGAAGCTGTGGTATCCACTGACGCCCGTGTTGATGAAGCCCACTGGCGGCGCGTCGCTGATGACAAAGATCGCGTGCAGCTCCAGCGACCTCCGCATGTCCTGGACTGCAGCACAATGAGGTCAGACGTCATGTCGTGCATGCGGGTTTCTTAGGTCAGAAGCGTCGCAGGCCGCGGCCTGCATGGACGTACTCAGGTCAATGCCGCTAAATTTGCCCGGTGTTGACCCGATGGCAGCCTCAATTGAAAGCGATAGTTGTTTAGGCTTTCAGCAGACCGCAAACGCCGCTTCGCGGCCGATGACACGATGACTCCATTAAACCAATTACGTGTGGTGACTGATTCATCAAAAGTAAGTGAATGAGTGTGCACACCGAAAGTTTTACATGCTACAAAGGCCGGCATCAAGCATCAGCCAGACACACATTTGCCATATTTTGTGTTAGGCCATCGCGTCACTTTTGAAGCAAGTGTAAAATTAATTTACTGTAGGGATACAACATGGAAAACTGACGTGTGCTCTTGGACAACAATAATGGACAATTTCTACAAATAGCATGATGTAAAGTTTTTCATAAACCCATAAGACAGCATAAAACACGACGCAAGAAAGAAGTTTGAAGTTCTGTTTTGATTACCCAGCCTCTTTTTCATAAATGTTTTAAATTTAGAGGTTTAGATAATGGTCTACAGTCACAAAATCGCTAAACCTCGGTAGCAAGAGGCATATCGAATGATTTTTGTAAGGTGGGCTAAACACAGACCGTCTTTTTCGCAAATGGTCATTGAAAGGTGATCATAAAAGTTGATAACTTTGACTTTGTCATAGACCAGTTAACCACACAGCTTTGGACAGAGTGTAAGCTTCAGCCTACTCCTAAGAACTGTTACGCTTCGGTTTTCAAAATCATCCGCCAGTGATAGGGGCTAAGCTAATTGTTAAGCATTACCATTTATCGACTAGCTTATAGCTGCGTTCACTGTTGCGAAACCATTTAACGTAAATATTCGTGGTTGTGGCAGCAGAGAACTGCTTACAAAATTGTTATGCGGTGTGCACGAGTTGTGAATGCGATCAACTGTCAGAAAAAACTTGATGTCACAGCCATAAACTTAACGTGTCAGCTTATTTCATATCACATGATAAAATCCTTCGATACATTAATCGCCCTCTTCTCGGGTTTCCTTCGCAATAATTGTTCCTAAATTTGAGAACACCCGCTCCATCGATGGTCATCACAAGAAGCGTTCCCGCGCCTGACTCCTGTCTGATTAGCAGTGTGCCGTCCAGCGGGGCTTCCAAACCACGTTGCATCCTGCCAAACTGGGTTCGCAAATACTTGAAGGTCACTTATCATGCTATCATGAGAGTATCACACACCGGTCTCATGGCCTGACATACACTCCCGACCCCGTTTCTCACGCTGGCCGACCTTGCCACGGGTCACGCCGCGCCGACCTCACCCACCCCCACCAGGCATCACGCTCAACGCATTTGCGTGATGGTAGGGTTTCACCCTATCGGAGGCCCGCCCCGGACGCGCCGGGCTAACTCGCGGGAGGAGGCAGCGCCGGGCGCCGGTCAACTCGACTCCACAATATCACAATGTTAACACCGAACACCAGTGTACATTCTTCATCGCTATAATGTGCACGGGGTGGAGCTTTGCAAAATAGGTTGGAGGCTCAGGAAGAAAAACTGGCCAAACCTACCCCACATCGCACCCAAAAATAGTTTCTCCCCGGCTTTTGGTTCACTTTCCTTTCTTTGTTGGGGACGGGCCGTGGTGGCTGAGACCCCTCCCGAACTGAATGAGAAACTACATCCCTTACTGTGCAGCTTGGCGCAACGCAAGGTAGTACGATCTTCGGACCATATACATATTTTACAACATCATATAGCATTGTTTTTAGGGTGTGTTATGAACAAATGGGAGGTGAGCTTAAGTCTCTACGGACAGAGACGTGTGAGCGAGCATGGTAACCTTCAACCGTGTAACCACGTGGAGACCGTGGCGTCTGTCCACATAACCTCCATCATGAGGGTTGCCTAATATGTCTACGGCCGCTGCTGACATCGAGCGGCACGGAGACGAGAGCAGCACGAGTCATACCACAGCGGCGTGACACGCGAGGGGACAGCACGTCAGTGCTGTTACCGTTACCGTCCGAGCCTCCCATCGACTTGGCATGGGAAACAGGAACTCGGCTCGTGTGGACGATGAAAGCTGAGGACGTGTAACCAAACGGCTGAAAGACATTGCTGGAATGTTTCCGCATGAAACGACTCGGCAGCCTTCAAAAGGCGGGCGTGCGCCGTTAACTGTGCAACGCGCCGACTCCCACGGCGGCCGCGCCACGGATAATGAATCGGTCCGGAGCGGTGCGGCCAGTCAGCGGCCGCGCGGCCCAATTATTCGGCTCGGTCAATATCGTCCGGCGATGCTTTGTTGGCGTCGGCAGTTTACGGGAACATCAGACGGTTAGATAAGCAGATAAAGGCGGGACCATTTTCGAGCTGTGTGTTTCACATATTAACTGCATACGGCGGGTGAAATTTTGGCGACATGGCAGCAAGAGAACTCTACGGGCTGTGTAAGCTCGTGACAACCCATGCAAAATCGGTAACGGGGTAGGTTGAGTAAAGCTTTTTAGAGAAATACGATAATGGGCATGGGTTGGGTACGTGTATGGGAAAGACGTGAGAATGAAATATCAGGAAGATATTCTAAGGCGAATCACACAATGTCGTTCCTTGCCACTTCCGCCGTGATAATTAACTGTATCCATACAATTTTTTGATTGCCAGCGCAAAAAGAATAAGCTTGGATGCAAGCTATTCCCAAAATTTTTCCATGATTTAGAGCTAATTTGTTGCAAAATACAGGCAGTTGATTAACATGTAGGTACGAGTGATAAGCTGGTGGAAGCCAGTGGGAATATTCTGAGGTGGGCGGTAGTGGGTTCGCGTTATTTCTGGGATCCCAGTATCCATTGTACTGCGAGGTTTGCCTCGCCTCACGATCCCAAAACCTGTATAAACATTCGCGCTTTGTGGTCTAAAATGTGAGACAATATCAAGCATAGACGAGCCCAATGCCTGTTGGGGTGAGCGTCACGAGTCGTGTTCTTGGTGAACATTCTTCCAAAACGATAGCATGCACTAGCGCTGTCGTAGCCAGGATATCGTCAACCAGGGGTCCCGATCGGGTCATTCGCACTCTATCATCCAAGGGGTCGCTGTTCGTTGCGATCCCTGATGCTTCTTTGGGCTCCTTTTTAGACTCGTGATATTATTTTGATGCCCTGGAGGAAATTTTTATGTTATATGCTCCCAACGGATGTCTTAAGCCGTCCAAAATACTGGGACATTCTGCCTTAGGGGGCCCCGGCCACCTCTAGGGGAAAGGAAGCATGGCACCAGTCCTCGGCTATGCGACTGCTGGCAGATGAAAGTCAACACCCGTCACGTTCATCGTGTGCGCTTTAACGGCCTGCAAATGCAAGGCGAGCCTGACATGATATTCCTAACGCTTGTCGATTACACATTTTTTGCATGGGCGGATTTTGCTGTCAGTAGTTAGTTCAGACTGCTGTGCGGCGGTGTCGAAAGTTAGCCTTCCTGGCGGCGGAACAATGAAGTAAAACATTGGCAACTGGAGGCAACAAAGTGACAGCAAAATCATCAATTGCCATCTTGCCGCTCCCCGTATGTGCATGGGACCACGGGCTTCAGGACGTCCCACGTCCTCCTTATACAGTTTTGACAATTTTCGTCATCACTCTCGAGGAAGTGACTGCCAGGAATGTAATGCATTTCAACAACCTGCAATTCCTAAGAGGCATTTCGCAGTTAGCGCGCTTACTGAAAGTGGTGACGCAGCTGTAGTAGATGTTGCTGATGCGAATCAGCTCCCTCCTGTCCCCTTCTTTGTACAACATCCTGCAAAGTGACAACGTGAAGTCAGCAGCAGCATGGAAGGCGTGGCTTTTTCAATCTAGAGGACACGTTTGAATTATGACTTACCTGGACACTGGCATCGCAATGCGACATTCTATGGTGCTAGAAGGAAAACCGAAGTCAATGAGTTGGCGCATCCTAGGGAGGCAACGGTGAGGCAGTGAAGCAATGAGTCTAATTTGAGTGCATGTTTGACATTTATCCTTGGCAGTCAAATGCAAACTAATCAGCCGGAAAAGTGGATGGAGCTAAATGGGGGATGAGCGTGCCTGGATGATAGACGTCTGAGTAGGTTCGAGAGCCAGACATGCTTGACATTCCACAGCGTCCGGTGATGCGATCAAGAGCAGCTATTATGCAGTCGCTCCCACTCTCGGCGTCATAAACTTACTGGGCTCGACGAAAACAAAACAGGAGGGAAACAGATACAGTCTCAGTCTAACAGTACGTTCCAGTTGCAGAATTTTCACAAAAATGTCATGTAGGCACAGCCATTAGCATATTATGTTCCAAAAGCATGCAATGTTTGGTAAGTAAAGGCGTACATTTATGTGTGGCCGACAAACACCGCAAAAATAGAAGTGCTGTAGCTATAACTGCCAGGTTAACGTGATGGGGCCCGACCTTGTATGCCCCCAATTCTGTTCTATGAACACTTTGACACTTTGTCCACGAATGGCTAAAGGAACTTAAGGAACCGGATCGGCCAAGTTAAGAAACACAACTTGTTCTTCGTTGGCCTGTCACGGACTTCTTCTCGCACAACGAGAGGACCTGGTCAGTGCTTTGCTCCGGAACATTCACGCTGACGTCCGTCAGTCCACGGGGGGGGGGGGGGAGGGGGCGGGCAGAGCCAGGGCCAGGGGCCTGCCAAGTACGAGGCCCGGCCGGCCGCGGGCCATTTCGGTCGCCGGTGGTATCCGAGCCCTCACCATTTGCGCGTGTGCGCCTCGAGCGTGACCCTGATGACCTTGATCAGGTGACTGATGAGCAGCCGCAGGCAGGTGAGGTCGGAGCGCAGCTGCCAGCCGTCACCCGACGAGCCCAGGCCCACCGTCAGGTGGCGGTAGCACGAGATCACGTGACACAGCTCCTTCACCATCTGCGGCCGGCAGGTGCGATCACATGACAGGTGGCCCCGGCGGCGTGACCTGGCCTTGCCCGTTGTCGAGCACGCTGACCGGGCGGAAGGCCAAACCAGCGGGCCGCTGTCGAGCACGCTGACCGGGCGGCAGACTGAACCTGGCCTCACGGTGGCCGGGCGGCAGGCCGAACCTGGCCTTACGGTGGCCGGGCGGCAGGGCGAACCTGGCCTCACGCTGGCCGGGCGGCAGACCGAACCTGGTTTTACGGTGGCCGGGCGGCAGACTGAACCTGGCCTCATGCTGGCCGGGCGGCAGACTGAACCTAGTCTCATGCTGGCCGGGCGGCAGACTGAACCTGGCCTCACTGTGGCCGGGTGGCAGACTGAACCTGGCCTCACGGTGGCCGGGCGGCAGGCCGAACCTGGCCTCACGGTGGCCGGGTGGCAGACTGAACCTAGCCTCACGGTGGCCGGGCGGCAGGCCGAACCTGGCCTCGCGGTGGCCGGGCGGCAGGCCGAACCTGGTTTTACGGTGGCCGGACAGCAGACTGAACCAGCGGGCGGGCGGTTGCCTTATTCTGTCGTGTGTCTTTGATTGGTGGACCGACCTACTCGACCACGCGTTTAGTGCAAATTGACATGGAACGGCGGCGCCCATTGACTATGTCGCCAGCAGGCAGGCCGCCCGGTCATAAGCCGCCCGGTCACAAACCGCCCGGTCACAAACCGCCCGGTCACAGACCGCCCGGTCACAAACCGCCCGGTCACAAGCCGTCCGGTCACAAGCCGCCCGGTCATAAGCCGCCCGGTCATAAGCCGCCCGGTCACAAGCCGCCCGGTCATAAGCCGCCCAGTCACAAACCGCCCGGTCACAAGCCGCCCGGTCACAAACCGCCCGGTCACAAGCCGCCCGGTCACAAGCCGCCCGGTCACAAGCCGCTCGGTTGCAAACCGCCCGGTCACAAGCCGCTCGGTTGCAAACCGCCCGATTCACAACGCGCCCGGTCACAAACGGCCCGGTCACAATCCGCTCGGTTACAAACCGCTCGATCACAGGCCGCTCGGTTACAAACCGCCCGATCACAACGCGCCCGGTCACAAACGGCCCGGTCACAATCCGCTCGGTTACAAACCGCTCGATCACAACGCGCTCGGTCACAATCCGCCTGGTCACAAGCCGCCCGGTCATAAGCCGCCCGGTCATAAGCCGCCCGGTCACAATCTGCCCGGTCGTGTTCAGGGGACTTCACACAGGCAGCGATGAAGGATCAGCCCCGAAGGTTCAGAGAAGTGGTGCCAATCGGATCGTCTGGATCTTGGATAGTTAATCTTTACGGGAGGATGACGATATTTAGGCGGAAATTGAAGTGTACATAAAGTAACTACATTAGGCGCGCGCTGCTCGAACCGCAAAAAGCTTGCAGTACTTTCCAAGTGCCAAAACATGCTTCATCTCAAAAATATACGAAGTCTCCATTCATGGTATTCTTGGCTAATTATGACAAAATGGCTCAGTTAGCTTTACGATTGTGGCATTTAACTGTGGATGGCATGCGGAAAAGCCTAGCAGCCTTCCAGGCAAAGCTCCTGTTATAATTGAAATGTCTCGGATCAGTGCCAGCATTAGAACGGACGAATAAAGCATATCGCTCGATGGTAAGTAGCTACGAAACCCTGGAACTGGCCGATTGTTTGTTGCCGCTTACTGGTGGACTTGTCCAATGATGAGAGGATGGAAGTAGGCTACAAATCGGTTCCATTCGCCGATAGGTGTCCGATTCGCCGATGCGTGATAGGATAGGCGCCAGTATGCCGAATTACTATTTGTCGACTGCTTTATAACAACTTTTATTTCCGCGACATGCAAAATAGCGACGTGCCCCAAATGTGATATTTGGAACATGGCAAACTGCAAAGTGATAGCAAGGAAAATGGCAAAATGTTGAAATGGCGAACTGCTAAATGGCGAACTGCTTAATGGCGAATTGCGAAATGGAGAAATCCAAAAAAGCTGACGCGCTGAAGTGGCGAATGGCTGCATGGTGGGCTGCAAAAATGCGGCGTGTAGAAAGGTCGATACTCCGGCGAAAGGTTAAATGTCGTTCAACTGCTCAAGAATCATGTTTGAACAAACAGCGACGAGGGAAAATGGCGACATGTCAAGATAATGAGCAGCCAAATGACGATACGGGAAATAAGCTCAAGTGGTAAAAGCAAAATCACGAGGTTTTCCGAGGCTACAAAGAATAGGTACTTGCTATTCAATCTGTTGTGACAGCTGTGTCTAGTGACAGTGACTCCGGTTACTGACCAACTGCCCCCGCCCCCTTTTTTCTGTGGGAACAGAGGACAGAGAGAGACTGATATTTTGCCAACGGCTTGATCTCGTAGACCCGCAGACACGCATGATGAACCTCCCGAAAGAAATATAAGGCAAGAGAGAGAGAGAGAGAGAGAGAGAGAGAGGGGGGGACCCCGCAAAGAAGAGACACCAAACGTTCACCGCTGACTCCAAGGCCCCGACTGATAGCTTGGGGCTATGCGCCAATCTGGCGCCTGTGAAGACGTATGATGGTCGTAGCAGTGGCCTGTTCGTTCGCCGTCAGATAATGCGCAAATGGTGTGAGTCAGATCCCATATTTTTGGCATAATGGTGGGCCAACTGTCAATAACGGCATCAATCATAGAAAAATGTCCGCTTATCAACAGGATCTTTGAGATTCTTGTTTCCGTCCTGTTGTTGCCCTCGCAGCATATGTCATGCATAAGTTTCTCACTAGTGGTGCATGTGAATGAATAAGAGATGAATGGCAGCGAGATGGTGTGGCAACGGATTTTTAGCAAGGTATTAATGAAAGATGCAAAGACACGCCGCGTTTTGTCTCCCACCGATGTGTGTTTATCGTGATAAACCACACACTATGTTTTGTACGAGGCTCATTACATTGCATTGTCTCTCGGACAGCTGTACCGAGGACGTGTGCTCGACAGCTGTCTCTACAGCAGACGGGCGGGGTGAAGGAAGGAGTCCCCGGGAGCAGAAAACTCCGGATATTTTTCGGTGCTCCCATGTGCCCTTGCCGTCCCAACTTGATATCCGATGAGCGCATCGCTCCCCGCTTGCCTCGGCAGACAGTTACTGATGCAGGGAAATGACAGGTAGATGACACTTTTGTGCATAGCTTTTAGGTTCGTCACATTGATTTCTATGTTGGGCGTGATGGTCCTTTTTCTAGATATTGTTTAATTCCCAACATCTGTCTGTGTCATGGCACGGCCCCTGAGGACAACTTACGGGTCATGAAAGAAGGCTTTCCAATGCGGCCTCGTTTAGACGGACTAGCTGTCCGGACATAAACAGTAGTAGAGCTGGATCGATTTGGTGATGAACAAATAGTTTCGGAGTTAAATGTACCTAAACTTTTGTCTTCAATGAGCCCGTGTATGCTCGTTTACTTCGACCGGCAGCCAATGACGCCTGTTTCTGTTTAATAGCTGACTGATCAAAAGTCTGATCTGATCTGATCTGATCTGATCAAAACTGATCAAAAGTCCGTCACCACCTCATTAACAACCAACCACCGTCGGCGGTCATTAAGAGTAACCAGATGTGGTTTTGCCCTTTAGCTTTGTTTTTGTTGTTTTACTTACCACCGTCGTCAGCGTTGTAGGCGGTGGCCGTCATCAGATGTCGACGAACTTAACCGAGCATATACGGGCGCATTGGTGACTGGAAATTATTATGAACAGAATACACACTTCGAAGCGTGCGATCCAATGGACTTGCCGTTCACTTAAGTTTGTCCTTTGCAATCTTGTCAAACATCGTCAGCAGCGTTAAGGTTTCAGCGCCACACACCGTGCCGAATTGATGGGGCGTTCCAAGCATCCGCTCTGTGATTAGCTGCCAACCAACGCACGGATGGTGGCCATATTGGAAATGGCGTCATGCTGTTGACAGCACGACCAGCCTTTGCGGCTCAAAATGGCATAGTAATTTGCCTACTTCATGCAAGGGGTGACCAAGGTATGCTTCGAAGTGCCATGTTCAGTTTACTAGCTTCACGCTGTACTGCAAAAATCTTCCCTCCATGGTCTGCAAAGACGGCACATGGCTTTCCGGGTCAGGAGCCTATGTCAGACTGTTAACCCGGCATCAGCCGGGTATGAGGTCTGCCCCCCCCCCCCCCCCGTTTAATATTAGTGATAAGAAAGAATATATTTGATATCTATGAACGAGAAATATGAGCCAATTATTCCACCATTAATATGCCTTGTCGTTGCGTTGTTTCGATATTGGACATTGAAAAATCGACGTCTCAAGTAACAAAAGCATTGATGTAAGTACAGTCAACATTTTGGGCTTCAAACCCAGAATTACGTGAACATAAAAGCAGATGTTCCCGATATGACTATGAAAGTTGTTCGTTCAAAGTTTCAAGCAATTATATGCAACAATGACTGAGTTTTGGCTTGAAATGAATCGCAGTGCATGTTGCCCATGCCCAGGTGGGCCCCAGGTGGGCCCCAAATGGGCCTGCTGACCAAGGGGTCGCTGTGCAGCTTGCATAACGGGGCTGATTGACCAGCCCGACTACAAGCGCCACAAAAGTCGACTGCCAAAGTTGTTCAAGCGACTCCGACCAGCTGAAAGTGCACGGCGCTTGATTATCATTTGATATGAGTTACAGGTAGTCGACTCTAGTTTCGTATATTTTTCTATTCGGGGCGTGTCATTTAGAAGTGTAGCGTGTAATCGCAACATTGATCAAAGTAATCGTAAAAATATTAACAATAAACGTAATATGTACATATCTGCGTGTTAAGTGGCAAATAAATTTGTGGCCATCGCTTTTACTGCAGTTTGTAGGTGCTTGACGCTTGCAGCAGAGCTGTCAAGCACCGTTTTAGGCGTTGAGATCGAACCAGAACGTTTTGAACGATCCCTTTTTGATTGACTGGACCTGCTGGACCAGTGGTCCAGCAGGTCCTCCTGCCTGCTCGCTTTACCAGGCAAAACCCACAAATAGCATGACCTCCCATTGCAGAGTTAAACGGTGCGCGGTCACCTGACTGCATAGTCTGGCTTTCCATTACAAATCATGCCACGAAACGTTCATCCAACCGCTCATTCACCACCGAAGTCATCTATTTCACCTTGACCCTCGACGCCTTGTGAACAAATAACAACACTCGCTCACGCCTCTGATACCCATAATCGCGGCTAAGCGCTCCCATTTTTTTGCCCATTTAAATGGCTCAAATGTCACTGGAAAAAGACCAAATTAGACACATAGACCGAGGTCTGGGCTCTCATTTCCACGTCACGTGACCTTGGCTCTGGACCTGGCACGGCGCGCGTTGCATTAGATACCTTTCTATGGAGCATGTTCGATCAGGGCGCAATGATTTACATCATGAGATGTGCTCATAAATGAAATGCATTGTGAGAGCGGTCAGATAATCCAAATTAACAATTCAAGAATTTGACCTTGGCCTGTGACTTTAATATACACCTTAACTTAACTCTGTCGTGTGTCTGAGACGGCTCGCCGCAGCGCTATCGATTACGACTTGAAGTTTTGAATTTGGTCCGGTCGTTCTTGAGATAAGCAGGGAAGTCAAATCTGCCCCCCCCCCCCCCTGTCGATGGTGTAGCCAGGATAGTGCTGTGTTAACTTCAATGCCACCAGCCCGGCTCCCTAATTAGTTTCGTCATGTAGCATGGCTACAATCAGGAGGTAGACAGATGGGAGGAAGCCCGACTGTTAAGACTCAATGCCATTGGAGCATGGAAAGGAGACACGAGAGGAAAAATGCCGCCTGAATTTGACTAGTCTCGATAAAATTATTCCTTCCTTAAATCGGTCTGGGTGATTACTCGATAGTGTTGATCAAACCTACCCAAAACCTGATTTACCTCCATTTTTCCACTGGTCTAATTTGCATTTCCGCTTAAATGGCTTCGATTGATCAAAATTGGTTCGCTGCAGAGGGACCTAATTCACCATTTCAAGTCGAAGTGAGCACGCTCTTTTCTGGAAAGCTTAGAACTGGGCGTACCTGACGGCCAACACACATAGGCAACATCACCAGATACTAGTGCTGAAATTTTTGCACGTGTATCGTTCATCGAAAATGGTCCGAGACGTATCGAAAAAATAGTGTTTTTCATGCACGATGACATGGCCTTACACGCGGAGACAACATATGTCAGAGAAGGCGTTTGATACACTAACATGAGATATCTATATCCATGGGTGACCTTGAACTAGCTGAGGCTGTTCAACAGGCAGGCTGATAACTGGAAGGGAAAGGCATAACAAAAACAGAAGAGGTTACAACAAGATATGAAGGAGGTGCCGTGCTGGAGAGAGATGTAATACCAGCAAGATACTATGCAATACATAATGGTCATTTCACTCCTTATACCGTGTTTTGGTTTCTCATCATTTTGTCATGTCGCCATTTTCCTCGTCGCCATTTGTTCAAAAAGGACTCTTAAGCAGATTAACATTTAACCTTCCGACAACTTGGAGTGGCAACGTTTTTGCATGTCGCAATTTTGCAGCAAGCCATTTAGCCGTTCGCTATTCCGACACGTCGATTTCTTGGTTTGTCACCATTTGGCAATTCATCATTTAACAGTTCACCGTTTCGGAATGTCGCAATTCTTCCATGCCGACGTTGTGCAGTTCGCGATATGGTAGATTCAACTTGTTGGCACGTCGACATTTCACGTGTCACCAAAATGGAAGTCATCATGTAGCAGCCGACAAAAGGTCGTTCGACAAACTTTCGCTTTTTGTCTGGCCACCGTTCCAGGCAAGCGCCCCACAGACCGTTCTTACTCGACTCCTGGTCCTGGGCAGGTGTGCCACAGAGTGCTGGTCCCATGGTTCTGGTTCCGAACAGGAGTCTTACAGACTATCAGTCCCGTGGTCCTGGTCCCGGACAGGTGCCTCACAGACTGTTGGTTCCCATAGTCTTGGTCCTGGACCGGAGTCTCACAGACTGTTCGTCTTATGGTCCTGGTCGCGGACAGGTGCCTCACAGACTGTTGGTTCCCATGGTCTTGGTCCTGGACCGGAGTCTCACAGACTGTTCGTCTTATGGTCCTGGTCGCGGACAGGTGCCTCACAGACTGTTGGTTCCCATGGTCTTGGTCCTGGACCGGAGTCTCACAGACTGTCCGTCTTATGGTCCTGGTCGCAAACAGGTGCCTCACAGACTGTTGGTTCCCATGGTCTTGGTCCTGGACCGGAGTCTCACAGACTGTCCGTCTTATGGTCCTGGTCCCGGACAGGTGCCTCACAGACTGTCGGCTCTCATGGACCTGGTCCAGGACAGACTCCTCCTGGTCCCGGACAGGCGCCGCACAGACTGGCCGTTCTTGAGGTACTGGTCCCGGACGAGTCTCACAGAATGTCGGTGCCAACGGTCCTGAACACTGGGTACACACTGAGACGCAGCTTTCTAAAGAGATATGATCAGTCCGCAGCCCAGCCCGCCCCGCCTAGCTAGTGGTCCAGTCCGCACAACCTCGCTATGTTATAATGCTGATCCACCACTAGCCCATAAGCATTATGCTCTTGCAATATGCTTTTTATCATTTCGCCTTAATTTTAGATTTAAATATTACGTTGTGCATAAAATAGCATGCAACTGCCATCTAAAACATGACATTGTTTTGCTAACACCAGTGTTGTTACTCGGAGAGCAGCAATCGAAGTACCGGTACCATGTAATCTATAATGCACAAAAATAGATCATTAACACTGTGACAGCAGGTTTCAACTGCAAATGAGCAGAAAGAGAGTGAAAATTATTTTTTTACCAATATAGGCTAAAGATTTCACCATTCTACCTCATCTCGATAAGCCACAGGGCATTTCCTCCAAACTTCCATGCATCAGCTGATAGTTTTGCACTGACGGGCTAAAAATGCTGGATGTTTCGAGTCGTAAGAAGTGTCAGTTCAAAGCAAAGTACATAAGCTCAATCAGCATTTGACTGTGTCACTATTACCACAATCTGAAATTTGTTATTGACGAACCAGAGCCAGCCAGGAGACATTTGATCTTTATCGAATATCTCTTTCACGTCCTATGTTAAAATTCTTTTTCACAGAATTGTATGTCGATGCAATGTTGGAAAGGAATGAGCAAATCAGACAAACAAAAGCCTTTGTTCGAAAAAAAGTATTGAAAAATACTAACAATTGCAGGGAGCGAAAACCGTATTGTGTAAGTGTCCTGTAGTCGTGATCGCAAACTGCCTCTTCTGCAGACAGAGATACACAAACTCTATGACACCATTTTTTTTTCAGTTTCGGCAATTGCTGCGCTTTTCATACGTCAGTAACCGCTGGCGGTATTGACAAGTGAGTGAAGCTGGGACGATGAAAGGCGCACCGCTGCTTGTGCATTTCAACATCATGAATATTTATTGTGATCTTTGAAGTATGGTTGTTGTGTGAAAAAAAAACGTTGGGTGCGCCACACCCTCACAATAGCAACCAAGTGCAGTGCGTGACTGTGTTCATGTTAAGGATCCACTTAACTGCTGCTCATTGAGACCAGGCTATGGCTTTTAAAATGTGAGCTGTTATTCTTGAATTTTGCGATGAGATGTTTGCTTAAAGCTGTGGAATCTACGCAACCTAGTTTACTAGTATGCCATGTCTGCCATGGGTTTTCTGTCACTGGTGCTCTCGCCGTAAAATATATAAATATGTTCGTTTCATGACTGCTTTGTGTTCAACAGGACGCTCGGGTTGTGGGAGGATTTTAAAACGTAAGAAATAACAAAAAATGTAATATGTTTGCCTTCTAAAATTTTTGACCCGTACAAGTCCACCAAGTCTGGTCCATAACCCCGCCAAAAGCCCGCGGGTCCTTGCAGGTCGAAAATTGGCGGGTTGGCGGGCTGAAAATTGTGTCTCTTGTGTGCCGTACTAACTGTCGGTTACCAGGGTCCTGAGCAGGTGCCTCTCAGGCATCGATGTTTTACTGATCAATCTGACCCCTCCAGCTGTGTTACAAGAAACCATTTGATGCGTCTTTCCTCATAACACTGTTATGAGCGTCCTTGCCAATCGTCGGTATTGGTCCCAATTACCGGCCGCTTATTTTCGTAGAACGCCGCGCCAATCACTACCCATTGGCGCCGCTGGAGCACGGGCGAGGGCCAAATTGCGGCCGATAATTACGCCCGGTAACGGCCGGCCATGGCGGCGCGCCCCTCACCTTATTGGTCTGGTGTTTGTTGGAGAACTCCACGGCCGGCGGGTGCTTGCTGCGCTTGCTGAGGGACTTGCCCCGGGACGTCGTGTGGCTGGGGTGGGCGTGGCCGGACTGGCCCGTAGAGCTGACCACCGCGGGCCGCGGCACACCCTGCAGCAGCGATCCAGAGGCGTGGTGTCAAACCGGGTCCAGCAGCACCGTCCTCCTCAGCACCGTCCTCCTCAGCACCGTCCTCCTCAGCACCGTCCTCAGCACCAGAGGCGGCGGCCGGGCAGTTTGCTTTGCGGCACGGAGGGATACATTCACCAGATGGGTTAAGGCTTATTCCTCCACGAGGCATGACGCATGTGCTTTTGGACGTGATGGTGTCATCACTGAATGCACGAGGGGTGTTCATTTCTTTTAGAAGCAGTCTTTCGATGACAAAATCGGTTACCAACTTATGCTGCCAGAATGCCGGGAGATAGCGAGAGCGACGCTTTTACCTTTCACGGACTATGTGAAGGAAAACAATGAAGACTGCTGTCAAGAAATTCTTTCCCGCATAATTTCTCCTTGATCTCCTTGACTTGCTCTTTCCGACATATCCATTCCAAAATGTATGTGGTTATTCAAGAGCCGTCGAAGTGTATGGTACAATGCAGCCGTTAGGCACCGCAGGAGGAGCATGGACGAGGATCGTGATGCTATGATGTAAGAGACGTATAACGATCAGGATACGTAATCGGGGATGGGTGGAGGAGGATTACATATATCGGCACGGGGGGGGGGGGGGTTGGACCGGCAGCGCGACCGTCTGGTCGCGCCGGCAGCGCGAACGGGTAAAGATTGACGATGGCGATGGATGCGTGGATTTACACGGACCAAAATAAAACAACACAAGAAGAAATTAACTGTTTTGGATGTGACACTTGGGTAAATTTCGTTGGATGCTGAAAGCCTTTCTTTCAGACATGGCAACAAGATAACTTGCGTTCCGAATATCTATTTTTCAAACGTCGAACAGCTCAAACCGTGCGCTGCTCATTTACATCAGCAAAACGATCTTGTGAAAAATAGAGCATTTAGAGCCGGAACCAACCTACAGCATTTAGAACACACCCCATTTGGGCCAGTCAGGTACTCGTTTCGCCTCCTCTGCAATTTTTTCTATCAATCGTGCTCTCACAAGTACCGATGCTAAAAACATCCTTTCTGTCGTAGGCTATCGATCTCGCTTCCCACCGTGGTTCCGCGTAAACTGAATAAGTAGATGTTTGCGTTGCTTTTGTAAAAATTGTTAAAAAATTAAATGTTTCAGTTTTTTAATATGACGTACGTTTTGAAAACAACTAAAAGAATGTTGAAACACTTATATTTAATATAGGTTGCACGTTCAGGTACGCAAGTTGGTTCGAGCACTTGCCTTTAGGTTCACCCATTCGTGACGGCATGGATTCGAGCTCTTCAGGCGTTCCCTACTTATCTCTGATTGGGATGGCCTGCGGCCGGTGCCAGCGGTCGAGCTAGGGGTCAGGTGACGTCAGAGGGCACGACGGACCGTGCTGGCGTTACTGTGCATAACGCTATCGCCGTAAAGTGATGCTATGGCTAAAATTTTGCCATCGAATAGCGAGACAAAAACTCACGTGAAACCAAAAGCTTTTTAATGTGGGGACCGTTTCTAGAAATCCATCCAATTAACGGGATGAATATATCGCACCAAATGTCTGAATTTGATACGCATCGCTTCCTAAGTGTGCCACCATGGCAACTCTCCTTGTGCAACGCTGATAGCGAGGGTTAAACAGATGGGTGTGCTGGAAGCCTTAGCACAGGAATCGGTCGCACCTAACCTGTTTGCATCGCCTCACTCTGCCCCACCCAAATTCAGCGTGTGTCATGGCGAGGAGGGTGGCCGCGAACTTGATTAAAATAAGCTTTCTGCGGAAGGCAACGGACGGGCTGTTCACACTTGGGTGTGATGTGGCGGTGTGATAGTTCCGCATCTTTAGCGGATCTTGTCCCCCAATAGGATGTTTTCTCTTTAACACAAATTGGTTTTAAAGGCCATCGAAACGGAAAGAAAAGCAGTGAATTGCCAAGCAAATACTGATACACAACTATCGGGGTTCGTTCGCAATAAAAAGTGATGGATATATGTAAAAATCTGGTACAATAAAGTAGCATCTCTTCACAACTATAAAAAACAAAACAGAATGCAGGGGTTCAGCCGTCATAAACAAATTCACGAGCACTCATGAAATGGATAGGTTAGACCTAAGAACTAAGCGGTGGTGTAATTATGCACTTCTTACACTTCTGTGGTTCTCCAAAGCCGCCTTAGTCATTACAGACTAACATTAGTCCCCTGGCGATGCATGGAAAGGTGACTTCAAAACCCGAAAGCAATTGAATTAAAAGGTGGCATGATGTCATCAAAAGTGACATGAAAAATGCTCTTAGGGTGCTCACTCCACCCGTCCTCGGACAGAGAACCCACGCCAGGAAGATGAATACATAGCACCTAAGCATCTCTCCCATACCGTGCGGCAAAGTTATGGCACGGTAAAACTCGTTATGGTGGCCAACGCCTGACGTTTTGCACGCAGGCGAAATTTTGTATTCCGAACAGAACAACATATTTGTGCGCCTTCGGTACTGTGAGTACAGCTTATGTATACATGTCGGCACGACATCATGTTAGCGATGTTTCAAAAAACTTAAATGCAATCATTCTTTGCTAAAAAGGGACAATGTTTTGCTCATTGGTAGTTCCCACCAAAAACATCTCTTATGCGAGGTCACGGATGCCACACTTAAGACTTGAGGGACAACCGGAACACTAAAATATTTTACGGATAATGCAAAAGCCGTTCGCCGAAGATGCATATAATCAGCAAGCCGTAAAGTCATGCATTTTTGTGACGTATAATTCTATCACGAACATGATGATGAGTTTTGCAAGCTTATGTAGTAAACATAAGACGTCATGACCTGAAAAGAGAAGACTCATTCGTAATACGGCGGCAACAGCAACGGGCTGTCTTCGTCCTGATAACGAACAAACTGTTAGCGGCGTGTATATGACCAGCTAGTCGATTGCGTAACATTTAAAGACGAGTATTATGATTTACGTGACGCAACATTGCAGGGAACGTTCCATATTTGTGTGGGTTTTGAACTGAAATAGCCATCTTGAAGGTCATTCGGTGCAGTTCACAGCCCTGTGCTTCTCAAGGCCTACATCTCTCTAGTTTCTGGGCTACGCGCCCGCGAAGATCTGCAGACTATCACGGGAGACTATTTCAAGGTCGTTCAGGCATCCATGGCGCTATGATAGCGTCATTCCAATTCTGTCATTTCATTTGTTATGCGGCGATCAAGGCCAAGAAGAACATGATTGTCGGGTCGTTCATATCTGGCGCTAGTGAGAACAATTTCCAGATATTACAGCCGTCAATTGACTCTCCATCAATGTTCTACGAGTCGCAATAACGTAATCAAACAATAGATTAGACAGTGGTAATATCCTTATACCTAGAAAAAAAAACAGGAGAATGGAGGTAACGAATAGCATCCGTCTCGATAACGGCATGATGGTGGAATATAACGCATCTACCTCTCCATTATCTTGGCTTTTCTACGAGGAATAAGGTTACTACTAACGCTATAGCCATATACATGACGTTCCTCGCAAATGCACTTAACAACTTTAATAATCAATGACGTACTCCGGAGTTTTGTAGCCATCTTGAAAATCATTCCGTGATGGTCACAGCCCTGTCCTCCTCAAGACCAACATGCTCCTAGCGTCTGAGCTACACGCCCGCGAATATATGCAGAGCATCTCGGGAGACTATTTCATAGCATGGTTATTCATATGTGGCGTTCGTGAATGCGATTTCCAGATCTAACAACCGTCCATCGGCTCTCAACCACTGCTCTGCAAGGCACGGTGATGTAATTAAACAATGGCGTGCTCTGGGTTTTGAACTGAAATGCCATCTTGAAGATCAATCGGTGCAGTTCACAGATCTGTGCTTCTCGAGACCTACACCCGTCTAGTTTTTGAGCTACACACCTGTGAAGACGTGCAACTCTCTCGGAAGACTATTTCAAGCCTGAAGTCCAGGGAGGCTGGAGAGGCTGAAGTCCAGGGAGGCTGGGAAGGCTGAAGTCCGCAGGCTAACCTACAGGGAGGCACGTACCCCCATACCCCTTTTAGAGCGCAAAGTCATCTGCAGAGTACAAGACCATGCACACAGAAAAATAAGTGAATCTATTTTATAAGAAGTCGGCAACCACCCCCTCATGTGCAGGGCTCACCAAGGCCGAAGATGCGAGATAAGTGCCTTGATGTGTGGTGCATGCTAGCTTGAAATCTCGTTCATTTAAGAGTGATGCCTGACGCGTTATGCGCGATGCCTGTCAAATTGAAATCGTTCGCATGTACAGGTGATGCGTGACGCCCGTTTACTTAAAATCGCTGACATGAAATCGCTTGCATGTATGAATGACGCGTGATGCATGTTTCCTTAAATTTGTTCGCATGTACACGCATTTTTTGTGTATTTTAATTATTAGGTATGTACTGAATCGCAGTAATGGCTGGCAATCGCCCCTTTTTTCCCTCGATGTTGGTGAGCTGTAAAAATTGTGGCTCTCTGTTTCAAAACAAGCATGAGAAAGTCGAGTAGGGTCGGAAGGCAATTTCGAATTTTCTACTGACATTTGTTTCGATAAAGGCATATTGCCGAAATATCGAGATATCTATCTGTTCATTCTCGTGGTTATTCTGCGAGGAATAGGGCTATTAATGTTTTTATCGTTTTGTTATCTTTGAAGCACATTTACCAAACAGAGAAATTGTGTTGTCTAGACCAGTTTTCCCCTTAAAAGCATACTAGTAGTTATAAATAAACGTATTTCATCACGTCCGATGTTTGCTTTAATATCTTCAAATATAAAACGTTCCCTTTAAGCGGTAAGCCACTTTAATGCATTTCGATCTAAAGGGCCTCGCATCCCGAGGTCGTGCCGCGGCCGGTGGTGCGAGTGAGTGGCGAGCGTGGTGGCTCTGTTGAAAGCCGCACCGAACTTTTTTGCGCCAAGTGCGCCAGCTGCGCGCCAGATGTGCCGTGCTTCATCGGTGTCGATCTGCATCCCGC